TATGGCAATTGTTCTCTTGGATGCTCTTCCTACCCTCGATGGCCTCAGTGTCAAAGACTGAACCAGAAATAGTGTTTTCATATTTTACGTTCCTCAGAAGATTCCTGCTTCATAAGTTTGTTCAGTCTATGCAGGAATGTGTTCCCAGCAGAAAAAATGATGTGGCAAGACATTTCAGACCCTGAGAGTAAACCATGTGAAGTGCCATGCAATTTAAACTTGCTGTCTTGGGTCCTGCTTTACTTATTTCTTGCATTTTAGTGTGAGAAGGCAGTGACAATTGTTCTCTCTTCACACCCTTCATCTCACTACCACTTCAATAAATCCCAGTTGTATCTTTCTGCAGAGGTTTTGACTGCAACTTGGAGGAACCAACTTCAGCATTCCTCCATACCTTTGGCAATGTTCTTTGTCCTTCTCTGGGCCTCTTTCATTTGTGCTTCTGTAAAATAGACTATTCTACAGTGTGTATTGCTTAAAGCTTCTGAACAAAGCAACCAGTCATGGGATAGAAGGGAGGATCTTTACATAGATCTAATAAAAATGGTTAGAACGCTAGAAGCAGAGGGTTAGCAAGGCAGGCCCGTCACATGTTTATGCAGTAATATAATGATAATCTTTTTCCTAACAGGGTGTCTCTTTGAATACACTTTTGTAAACCATGGCTGAATGCTAAACTGGTGTCTTTCATGGAATGTTTTTCTCCAGGATCACATTCCTAAGTAGTAGTCATCCTGTATGAGGAATTAAAATTGTTTTTTCATGTTTGCATTAGTTAAATTATCTACATTAATTTTAATCTGCCATTTAATTTGTTTTACTGATGCCATCAACTTCTGATGTTTTTCACCATTACCCTCTAACTTTTCTAAAGTGAATTGCGTTTTGTCATCAGTGAACTTTGTCACTTTGCTTTCACCCTTTTTACAGCTCAGTTATGAATGTGTTGAACTACATAGGCCCCAGGACAGAGCACTGGGACTCATCTGGTAACTTCCCTCTGCTGTGAAAGGATTGTTGTTTTTTTTAATACTGTTTATTTTTTTCTTTTTTACCTTTTTTTTTTTAACTTTTTAATTCCTGTGAAGAGTTTGCACCCTTTTCCGCTTGCATTAAGAGCCTTTGATGAGGGTCTGTGAGTACCTTTACTTGAATTTTCAGAAGGCTTATTAATGTGATCTCCCTTACCCATACAGGTTCTTTTGAGAACTCCGGGATTTTTTTATAAGGTACAATTTCTCTTTACAAAATCTGTGCAGGCTTTTCCATTTGGAACTAGTTGTGGTTCTGAGACCTGTGGAATACGATTTAGCCTAGCTTTTTCTTGAGAGAGTGCATCACGATCTTACTGTCCAGTTACAGATCTGCTTAAAGTATTTCTTTTGCAATGGAAATACAAGTTTGAACAATGTATGAGCTGAATTAGTTATGATTTATATTTTAGCTCACAAGGCACATCTAAAATGCTAAAGGCTGTGCTGTTTAGTGAAGTACTTTCACTTGCGTTCTCTGTATTTTTTTGCACTGCATACAAGTTACATGTCTTAGGCTGGGGTTTGTACACATAATCACTTGGTGATTGCTTCATGTGACAAAGGCAGCTAAGGTCTTCAGGGTGCTTTTTTGCACTTGAGTGAATTCTTGCCAGTTCCAACAAATGGGGCATTTGTGGGGAACAGTTGGAATTAAGGGGGTTCCTAAGTACTTCCGTTTGAAAATTAGAAAGAGGTAAACATGCAATATGCCTAGAGAGCTACCTGGGTAATACGTGTGAAGAAAAGAGCATCCATAATGTAGTGAGATGGATTGGTAGCATAATATTTGTGCTAGAATAAGCTAAAATGATTAAATAGTGATGTAGTGAAGCATACCAGGAAAAGTTTGCATTTGGAATGGTTGAACCTGGGGGGGGAACTAAGAAAATAGCAGTGAAGATAAATGTGGAATGGGAATGCACTTTATAACTTGGCATGAACTTCAAGGTCTGAATGATTCATACATGAAAGCATGTTTCTCAGTGTTTTACTGATTCTCCTAGTTCAGTTGTTTTCTTGAAAACATGAGAGTTGATATAGTGAACTGCAGTGCAGGTGGTTGTGTAAAAAAAAAAAAAAAAGAAAAAAAAAAGAAGTACTTGTAGCAGTTAATTTTTGTAGGGGGAGAATGTTTCTGTAGATAATTTTTTAAAAGAAAGTAAGAAAACTCTTCATACTAATGCATTTGAATGTTGGTTTACATAGTATAGAGGGACAGTGAGTGCTGTTTGCAAAGTAGTCTCTACTGGAAGTAGAACAAGCAACTAGCAGGCTCTCCTGGGAGACCCTACTGCTTGGTGGGAAAGAATTTCCCAGAGGAGAGTGCGGGGGTAGAAAGGGGTGATTGTCTGTTCAGCAGTCCAGTTTGAGTTTGGTTGTTATCTTTGTGAGAGATAACAGGTTTATTCCACTGGGGAGGTACCAGGGAGATCTCTCTTCCTCCTCAGGGCAGGATCAGCTGTGAGGCCTGAGCAGGTTCCTTAGGGCTTTTCCAGTTGGGTATTGAAACCCTTCAAGGTCTGATAACATGTCTCCAGCTCTGGGCATGCTAGGGGCAATGGGCTCTGCTCCTTCACCCTCATGGGAGGAAAAAAACATCCTGTATTTATCCATTAGTCTTTGTCTTAATCTGCCTGGCAGGACTATATGGCCCGCATCAAAATGTGAAAAGTTTGAAAAGGCGCTCTGGAGGACTTCAGGATTTGAACAGTGAGAAGTGGTTTTGTTTGGAAATATGTGTGTTGCTTAAGAGAAACAAAGAGTTAAGCATGTTTGAAATTGGATGTTAAGGTGTTTTTGTAGCCATTCGAACAATTTTAATTGTTAAATTACAGACTTGAATTAACAGAGATAGTTACCTAAAAGTTGTGCAAATAAATTAATACCGTCAATTCTAGCTTTGCTCTGAAGATTTGGCACTGGCTATAAAATTGCATCTTGCTGTGGAGTATTTTAGGGTGAATTGTACTAGCTCTCCTTCAAAATGTCTAAGATAAGATATTCTTACTGATACTAAATTGCAATTTTTCTTCCTTTTCTATGAGCATTTCCCTGCCAGCTGGGTTTATGATCTTGACATCTTCTCATGGGTTTATTAATGTTCAACAGCTGTGTTCTGCTTTAAAAAAAAAAGTTTGTATTGCACCCCAGTAGTTCTTCTTGTTGTCTTCAAATTAACTTTCGGGTTTATTATGCCTCCAATAAAGGCAGAAGAAAAAATTTTTTTTTTTTTTTTTTTTAGAATTGGGTATGGGCGAAAAGAAGCATAGGAACAGCAGAAGGACAAAACTGGAGAAGTAGCAGATATTTTGTTAGAACTTCTAGGACTTTGGATTTATAATGATGGCCTTAAACTTTTATTGTTAAGCATTTGAGATTATGTAATGTTTTGCTCATTATTGATTGTGCAAGTATAATAGCTTGACCAGCAGCTGCATTTGAAAGCCATAGTAATGTTCATACATAGTTTTTCAGCCCACTCACTGGGCTGTCATATGAAGATGATCTGTGTGGATAGAAAATAAGCCCGTAACAGTTTTTAAGACTTTCCTGATGGCACTTCACTTTTAACATTAAGACTTTAAAATTTGGGGGTGGGTTGTGATGAAAGCAACTTGTATGTTGACCGTATCTGTGCTATTTCTGAAATTCTACTTACATCTTTTTAACCATAAAGAATTCAGTAGGTTGTTCCCATATTGTCTAGTTCAAGAAGCCTAAAGCTCTTTGTGCTTCAAGTTTGTAACCGTTTCTCGCATATGTGTCTCAAGTTCATTCTTTATGTAAATTGCATGCAGTTATGTTCTGTTGCAAAGTATTTTCTCAATATAGAAATGAGCCACAACCATTACTTCTGGGGTAGCTTCATCTTAAAATCAAGTGTGAAGTGTTTATAGAAAGCTCTTTGATTTTGAAATGAGTAAAGAGTTTTTGTTGCTTTTCTATCAGTGGTCCAGACTGTGTACGTCATCAGTCATAAACTATTTTCTTTTCTTGAAAATAACTTGATGCTTGAAAGCTTTTGTGGTAAGAGCCTTTAGGAACTACAGGAAAGATGGGCATCCAGAAGTAAGTACCTGCATTGGTCCATTTGACAATGTCAGTGAATTTTCCTGTTTGCATTATTTTAGTTTCCTGATAAAGCCATTTCCACAAGTGTTCTTTAATTAATCTAGGCATTTAGGGCTTTCTCAGAAAACTGAAAATCATCAACTGCAGTCTTATGTGGATCATAGATTGGTAGCTATTGGTATATCTGATGTCGAATGCTTGACTTCATTTTGACAGGTGCATGTTCCTTTCAGGATTTAAATTCTACTTTTCCAGGTTGTCTTGAATCCAAAAGGCTATAGAGATTTATGGTTTTTTAGTACAGTGCAACTATCTGTAAGCTGCATGATACCGCCAAATGATTCGCAGACTGTTTTAACCTCCAAGAAATACTAATTTAGGCTCAGTACAGCAAAAATACTTTTCTTCCACAGAAGTTTTTAAATGACTTCTGAGGAAAAAAACATGCATGCCTTTTTGAATGTGTATGTACATCATCTTTCTGGTGAACTATGTAAATCTCAGATCAAATTTGAATGTAATAAAAACATTATTAAAAAAACCAAACAAACACTCTAAAACTTCATTTTTAGTGGCATTAGAACTGTTTGTTGAACGCATACTAGAGGTTTATTGCCCAACATCATGCTTAGTGATATAGAGGTAGGAGGGAAGTAAAGTAGAGGCAGGAGAAAGGCTGGGGAGTCCCTTACTCTCTGCTGTAAAATTTGCCTTTTCCAGAGGAAGCTCCTGTGGAAGGGATCTTCAGACTTCAGTGTGATCTGTGTTAAGTGCTAGTCTGAGTGATATACATCTTGGCAAAAAAATACTTTTAAAATTGTTATCCCATTACATTGTGTAGAAGTACTTGCAGTCATCTTATATGAGGAAGATTTTTGACACACACCCCCCACCCCAGTCTTTGGAATCTTTGCTATTTAGAGATAAAAAATTGCATGGTAACCTACAGAGAAATGTTAATAATGCTTGAAAGCCTCTCACAGATAATCTTTGATCTATGATATTACCGTATTGTTTCCCAGGAGAAAGAGAACTGTTTTCTTCAAATCCTCAAGCTTTGAAGCAAGCTGCGATGTAGAAAATAATTTGAATCTTACTGGCTAGAAAAAATGCTGTCTGCATTACTTTTAGTTTGCTGCTACAGGTTTTGATAAACTGATAGATTTAAAAATTATTAGAGATCTGGGCACTTAGACTGTCCAGGCAGTAGGGATTTCCTTAAAAATCTTTACTGTAGGCTGTTAGCTTAAATGAATCTTGTAATACAAGTGTTTTCTAAACCTGTAATTCCTACCAATCTAGATGAAAGGTACTGAGTAGGGGACAAACACTACATGTGTCTCTGCTCTGCTCTTTGTTGTAGGCTGTCCTGACTTTTTTTGAGTTCACTGGGAGACCCTGAGTTTCATGTTCTCCATACTCTCCACCTGCTGAAATGACAGTCTGGTTGATACTTGTCACTAGATGGTATCTCTTCAACTGAATCATGCATTATTAGATTGCCCAACGTGCAGCAGAAGTGTCCTTTTATAATTTGGGTAAACTTCAGGTGTGTATGGGAGTATCAGATCAGAGAGCTGTACTGCTCCTTTCTAAGAATTGCTAGCCCTGTGGCAGTGTAATGGCTTTGGATTTGCTAGAAACACTGAAAAACAATCTTCTGCGGGGTAACGGTGAGGGGAAAGAGTAATTTTAGAACCCAAAAACTTTGTAAAACAGCTACTGTGGCAAGGAGCGTATAGAAATTAAAGAAAGCAGCAGTTCTGGTTAAATCTGCTTTACTCAAGGCTTCTGCCTGGTTCGTCTAAATAAAAAGATTCTAGGTCTCTCGTCTAGGATCGAGTTTTTGGGTCTTGAATGGCAGCAGTTTCAACAGCATTGTGAGCACTTCCATAGTTTGCTAATTCTTCCTGGCATTACTTATTGACTAGTAGAATAGCTCCTGGGTCTCTAGTCTATGGGCACACACGAGCAATGAGATCAGTTGGTCAGCAGTCAACAGAAAGCAGTTGTACAGATGGCATAAGCTGCCCCTTCTTTTCTTGTGCTTTGGCAGTTTCAAATACAAAAATTGGTGCTTTTCTGATTATGTGCATTGTCATAGTTTTGTTGTAATGGTGATGTGATCTTTATAAAGCAGATCTGTTTTGTTGTCAGTTGTGGAGGTAGCAGGGAGAGTTACACCCTTTGTTACACTGCTGTGGAAGGGTTGTGAATAGTGATCAAGGGGGAGGAAGCCTAAAGGCACGCTGGAGGTGGGAGCAGTACAGAGCACTGTCAGGAACGGGGAAAATAATTCTCTTCAGTCAGCAAGAGTTCGAGGGAACAAAATTCCTCAACTTCCCTGGAGATTTTTAGTTGTTTTGTAATAACTTTTCTCCACCCTTGTTTGGCTTATTATTATTCCCAATGGCTTGGTAATAGGTCATCCTGAAAGCTGGTTACACTCAAAATATGTTTGTAAGAGATCTTTGCACATGTAATGAACTGGATGTGTACAACCACTGCATGTGTTTTTCTTTCTTAGCAACAAGGTATTGGTCGGCCAAGCGTATACCATGCGGTGGTGGTCATATTTCTAGAATTCTTTGCCTGGGGGCTCTTGACAACTCCAATGCTAATGGTAAGTATCAGCTCTCATCTTGGCAGTAACGACAAAAGTTAATTTGCTAATTCGTAGGGATCAGGGTTTTAATTTGTTTTACACTTCCTGCGTACCTCATTAACTGAATTCCAGGAGTCTTAACATTCAACACTGTGCAATAGTAATATACAACAGCTGAGATGTGGACAGCTGAAAGACTAAAAGATAGTGAAAAATAAATTAGCAAAACGCTGTACTACTCTAACTTCTATTTGCCTTCTGTAGTAACATTAGTTTAGTGTACTGATGAAGGTCTCTCTGGAAGTTCTGGCTTTTTCTAAGGCTTCATAGTTCAATTCATCTTTCAGTCATAACAACTAAATAAACTATGCATCCCATAGTAAACTTTGTACGCTATTGTGGGCTGGCTGTTTTGCCAGCATGTAACTTGAAGTAAAATGTAAAGGCTTTCATGTAAGAAATGAATTTTATAAGTATTTAATCTGTTCTGGAATGCAGTTATTTTCCAGATGAATAGATAATTTGAGTGTTTGGTAATAGGATATGAAGCCTTTCATCTGAAGACATGGGTCTTACTCATTGAAATCAGGCCTGCCTGAGAGAAGTCATCAAAAGTCTATTAGTCCAGTTTTTCATCAGATAATATCTGAGAGCGCTTTGAATACATGATGAGCAAGGTTTTGTGGGATTTAAAGACCTTGGAGTTAATTATTTTCCTTCCCCAAACTCCAAATAAAATCACCTACATAACTCTTGAAAGGTGTTTTTCTAACCTTCCTAAAGACAATCTTCTTAATGTAGCTTAATAATAAAAAAGTCCTTATAAATGGTTAACAGATTTCCATAAAGTAAATGTCTCACTAAATGACGAGCTTGTCATGCTGTCTTGCTAGTGTCAAAATACAGGGAAGCTTAACTGGGTGGACTTTCTTGTTTCTTTTTTTTCTTCTTTCCTTTTTTTCATAAATGAAATGCTCAACTTTAAGTTGCCCAAGCTTGACACTTCTCATTTAAAGAGATAATGTGCAAATAGTAATTCTTACACAGTCTTCAAAAAAACCCCCACTGTAATAAAACTGTATGGTAGGTGGGTCCTTCAGTAATTCCTCAGTAGTGTACTCAAACTGAAACAGTTTCATATGAATTTTTACTGTAAGTCAAATGCAGCTGAAATGTTAATTCGTGAAATTGCTATTGTCGTGGTTTAAGCCCAGCCGGTGACAAAGCACCATGAAGCTGCTTGCTCACTTCTTCCCCCCGGCTCTGGTGGGATGATGAGAAAATATAAAGAAAAGCTCGTGGGTCGAGACAAGAACAGGGAGAGATCACTCCCCACTTATGGTCACGGGCAAAAGACAGGCTCAACTTGGGGAAAACACAAAAGCAATTTAATTTACTACCAATCAAATCAAAACAAGGGTAATGAGAAGTAAAACCCAAATCTTAAAAACACCTTCCTCCCACCCCTCCTTCCTTCCTGGCTCAACTCCACTCCCAGTTTTCTCCACCTTCTCCCTCCACAGCATTGCAGGGGGACAGCGGATGGGAGTTGGGGTCAGTTTGGCACACGTTGTGTCTGTGCCCCTTCCTCCTCAGGGGGAGGACTCCTCACTCGTCCCCTTCTCCAGCGTGGGGTACCTCCCACCAGAGACAGTCCTCCATGAACTGCTGTAGTGTGGGTCCTTCCCTCAGGCTGCAGTCCTTCAGGCACAGGCTGCTCCAGCACAGGCTTTCTCATGGAGTCACGGCCATCTTCGGGGGCATCCCCCTGCTCCGGCGTGGGGTCCTCCCCAGGCTGCAGGTGGGCATCTGCTCCCTCGCTCCCCTCCATGGGCTGGGGGGGACAGCCTGCCGTCTCACAACGGGCTGCAGGGGCATCCCCTCCTCCAGAGCACCTCCTCCCCTCCTTCTTCACTGACCTCGGTGTCTGCAGAGGGGTTCCTCTCACATCCCACTCTTCTACCCCGCTGCAGGTTCCACTTCTTAAATATATTATCCCAGAGGCTGGGCCGACTTGGAGCTGGGGGAGCTTTGAGCAGCTTCTCACAGGAGCCACCCCTGCAGCCCCCTCCCCTGCTACCAAAACCCTGCCACACAAACCCAAACCAGTATTTATCATTGCACTGTGTCTAATGGGAGTGTATGAAATGCTTCTAATTTAAAGCTAAAGTCTTATTTTGACTGAAATATTTGGATTCATTAGAGTCGTGGTCTTGAATGTGTCGTATTTTGAATGTTGTGTTTCTCTCTTATGTGGTCTTGAATACTTAAAAGGCTGTTGCATGGGACTGAAAACTTAAATTAAAGCACTGAGTTACATATAATGGTGTAACTTACCTTACAGAGGTGTAAATGACTTCTGTGTTCTAGGGGCTGATCATCTTTATTTGTAATCAGCTTTGCACACACTGAAAGGCTGCTGTTTGTTTTAAATAATTTGAAATCTGGTTTTATACTTTGCACCCTTCTGTCTTGTAATGTGCTTGTGGTAATTTACCTTGGCCTGCTGATCAGCCAGCAGTAATAGAAGTCATGTAGAGCTTTCTTATGGGCAAGGTTCAGCCTTTTTGCTCCAGCATGTTTGTCTGGTGGGAAGGGCAGAAATGGAAATGTCTGGCCTGTTGATCAAAGCTCATGATCACTCAAATTTTTTGTGGTTGTGTTGTGATTCTCCAGGTCACTGTCAACAGCAAATGAGATTAAAATGTGTTGTGTATTATGTATGTATTGTATGTATTCTGTGATAGCTGAGATTATTTAAAGTTAATTTTTTAGATTACTTTTTCACTTCTTTTGACATCCGTCAGCAAAGCTGTGGTGGTTGTTGTATGACACTAAGAGAAGAAAAGATTTAAAGTGTTTATAAAGCACATAAAGGCTATTTTGCTCACAGACTGCCCAAAACTTATGCTCATTATTCTTATTTATGGTCCTGTAAGCCAATATTAGTAAACCACCGTAAGCAATATTAATCACTTAATGGCATATTCTGTCTTCAGTATAATCTTTTTTTGAATATATAAATATTTCCATTGGTAGAACTTGAGTAAAGCAGCTCCCTCTACCAGTTTGTCAACTTGCATTTCTCTTGTCTATGAAGTAACAGAAAGAAAGCTTGAACCAATATCAGCAGTGGTTGTCTCCCAGGAAGAATACTGGGGAACACTTTGCAGAAGGGTAATTAGATTTGACTCTGTGAGCTTCCTGCTTGCCTTTTTTTTTTTTTTACTTGGAAGACATCTGCTTTTAGATCTCTAATTTGCACCCTGACTTTTTTTTCCTCCATTCATATCATAAGATCAGTGGTCAAACAGGTGCAAAATTGTTCTAAATATCTAAACAGATGATGAGACCAGGAAGAAAAGGGGTATAAATTAGCGGATTTATCTGACCAGTAGTTAACATGGGAACAACCACCTTTATTAAACCTATGATCTGAGAATCTCAGTCATCCTTGAAAAATGATGCTGATAATTTTCAGTGATGCTAAAGTATTGTGTCTCTTCAGGCTAGTGGCTTTCTCAGTATGCATATAATTTTTGTAGTTGTTGGCACTTACCTATAGATAAAGCCAGCAAACGAATTTGAAGTGTGTGTGCATACATGCTTTGATTGTTGCAGTATCTTTTTTAGTTGACACAGTAGCACCTGTGAGGCTTTTTAACTCTCTTGCATATTTATGGTAAATCTGTTTAGTATAGATTAACATGCTTGTCCTTGAATTAAGACTGCTGGTAAAGCACTTCAAATGAATTCATAGCTGTACTTAAAGAATACATGAAACACTCAGAACTGTTGCTGGTATTTACAAGCATCTACTTGTTCATCAGAAGTGTTTCTGTATGGCTGTTGAATATCTGCAATTCATTCAGAAACAGTTCGCACAGTGCCTTTTTGGGCTGTGGTGAATATAACACTGTTTATTTCTTGACAGAGTAAGCTAGCTGAATCTCATGTTTACTTCTGATTAGCAACGACTGAGTCAATCTTTTGAAGGAGTTATCTACCTCAGAAATTCTGTGATTTGTACCACATGGAGATGCTTTTTGCTTACATTGATCCCCTTTCTGACCAAAGTACTCCAAACCAAACTATTTCTGCAGTACGGTGCGATCTGTGCCAGCAGAGGTATTTATGGCAATACATTGATATAATACCTTATCAATATTTTCTTGTGAAGACAATTAAGAGTGTAGTTCTGGGATAAGATACTTTTTTAACAAGTCCCAGTAGAGCTATCCTGTTTTACAAATCAGTTTTAAACTTTGAATCAACCTTCTCCTGTCTCTGCTGATTCAAATAATGCTTTTTTTCCGTATCAGGTCTTACATGAAACATTCTCCCATCATACATTTTTAATGAATGGTCTTATTCAAGGTGTTAAGGTAAGATTTTTTCAAAACCTCTGACCTAAATATTCTGTGTGTTCCTGTATTGTAATTTGGCTCTCCTGCATTCTCCATAGGAATATACAAAACAGCGAGAATGTAATTAATTCTTAAACCATTTTTTCATTGTAATGGTTGTGTTCTTAGTCTCAGTTCAAGCTTTGCTGCTAAATGGTAGCATCTTGAAGCAAGTGGAATATTTCTCAGAAGTTTAAATTCCTCTTATTTGAATAGGTACCAGTTGTAGCTATTGTAATCTTGATAAGGATCCTTCTGAAAACGGAGCTAGGTTTTTCATGTCTGCTTCCTAATGTGAGATGATTTATATCAGAAGCAGATTAATGCAGCCATGATGATACCATTGAGATAAAAAATGAAGCACTTAAACACTGATTTTGTCCAAGATGTGGTATAAAAGCTAATTTTCAGCAGGGTTGTTTGGTTTTTTGTTTGTTGTTTTGTTGGTTGGGTTTTTTTCCTGGTCTTTTTTTATCAGTTTTTGAGCATTCTGTGATGGTCAAGATATTCAGGGCAGCTTACAGCCTACTTATACCTCTGCATTCACGCAGTGGTCATGCTGGATTGTTGCCACAAAAAAAGCATGCAGAATTCCTCTAGCATAACTAAAACTTCAAAGTCTCTCTTTGCTAACTGTTGTACTGAGCAGCTTCAAAGCACTTAGTGTAACTTGACTAAGTTAATTTATAGCACCCAGAAATTATTTAGCTTTGTATTCTGTAACAAATCTAAAGTGTTTTTTTTAGCTGTAAGAACATGACATCTTTAGGATGGACTTACTGTCTTGATAACTTTCACGGTGGATTGGCAGAACACCATATGCTAAGGATGTCAGGAAGTCTCAAACTGGAAGAGGAAGTTAACTTTGCATTGATGTCTTAGAAGAACAAAGTTCATGTTCCTCTTGGTGTTTTCTTTCAACTCTGTTCACAGTGCAGTGTAACTATGAGTATCACTTAAATGTAGTGAATGGAGGGTTCTCCATATATTTTCTACAGGGCATACCTGTAGAAAAGTGCATGGTCTAAATATATGTATTGCTCTAACAGGTGTAATACAGGGGAGCATAGACCAGAGTGAGCCTAGACTTCAGTGTCCAGTATTTTCTTTAAACTTCTGTTTATGAAATACCAAAAGGGTTTTGGGTGACAGTTAACAAAACATGTTAGTTCATAGTCTACTGAAACTTGACTCTTAGGAGCAAACCCATTAATTTCAACTGAGTAAGGCATCTAACTTTCCTAGCATCCGCTGGTGTGGCTTTATAGCTTTTGTTCTCAATTTACTTACTGAAATCATTGGATTCAGAGTTGTTTATTGGGACTTGGCAGAATAGCGATTTAGTACAGTAGTCTGTACACATGTGTTAAACTTGAAGGTGACTATATTTGAATACCAGAGGTTACCTGAAGTTAGTTGGAGTAGACTTCTGGTGTATCGAGATGCTTACAGAACCATGTATTTACTAGTGTTTGGATTTATGGCAGAGTTGGATTGATGAGAGAGCAATATACTAATTAGGGGGAAGATTTGTCTGTTCTGGAGGTTTTGCAGTTAACCTGTGAAAGGCTTTGCTTATTTTAATTCTTCTGTGTAATAGAGAACAGATTTGAGGCCTAGATTGTAGGACTTCATGAAATGCTGAAAAATCTAGTATTTGATCCTAAGTCAATTTTCTCCATGACAACTGTATCTGTAAGTCTGACTTTAGCCATTGGAATATTATTGTGTTCCATTGTCTCAAATTGTCAAGCTTGCTCAAATGGTCCCCATAGCTCTTGCAATGTGTGAATGTCCTGTACATGATAAATATGTAGTATAAAGCAGTATGTGTTCTCCTTAATTTGTTTCAGAGTACAGTTCCGTTACCCAAAACTCTCCCTTAAGACAGTCCAAATTAGAGGGGAATTTGTGTTTGGCATCTAGCACTAAGTCTCGTGATGGAGGCTAAGAAGATGTCCTTTGTGAAACCAGACTGCAGATTTTAGAAATTTTTAAGTAGCTTTTTCAGTCTGTGGTACTTCTATATTGAATCAAATTGATCTTGAAAAAATGTTTGCCTTTTTTTTAATGCACTCAGGTTTAATAGATTTGAAACATAAAACATCAGAATCACAGAAAAGTAGACTGTGGAAGAAATTGTGTACAATTTCAGTTATCTACAATTTTGTGGTTAACGTCAAATTTCAATTTTAGGCCTTTTTTATATTGTAGTTAAAGTGAAACTTGGAAATGTAAATATAGACATATTAATTGTTTTTCTTCTGTCACAGGGTTTTTTGTCCTTTCTCAGTGCTCCGCTAATAGGTGCTCTATCAGATGCATGGGGAAGAAAATCTTTTCTTCTTCTTACAGTTTTCTTCACCTGTGCCCCAATTCCATTAATGAGAATAAGTCCATGGTAAGTGATACAGACTGCAGTAGCAAGCTGGTCAGTACAGCAGAAGTTCAATCAGAGGAGTAGGCTGGGAAGGTGGGAGAGGGACAATAAGACAAGAGGAAAGCCACTTTGCTTTCAAGTCGTGATTGCATTATTCTGGAGCTTTTCTGTTCAAGAGGTATTAAAACTGTGTATCTTAAAAGTAGAAATTATGGAATGTGATTTAGCTGCTGTCTTCACACAAGTATAACAGTAATTGAAATGGTTTGATAGCTCTTAACTCAGTTTTAAACTCAGCTGTTAATTTTTTCCCCCCTTGAGGGCTGACAATGCTGTAATAAACATATTTTTAAAGCTAAATGAGCCTTAGAATTTACTGACCACAGAAAAGTATAATTGCTGCAAATGAGATCTGTTAACTCTTTGATTAGGCAACTTTGAAATCTTAACTGAGTGGAATTGACTTGGTTTCAGTTTCATTTACATTCATTGTGAAACTTAGGAGGATTACAAAAGAACTTTGAGTACTCTGAGTGCATTCAGAGTTCAGCTTCTGAAACATTATATATGATAGTTTATTCTTTAACTGGTTGAGAAACAGTTCTAAGATAGTTCCTTTTTCATAACTTAAACTTGCTTCAGCTTTGAGAATGTGAAAATGTATAGGTATCATGTCCTGAAGGGGCCACTTCTTTTAGGCTGAGGTAAAGTAAACAGTAGAATATAAAAAAAACAAAATGCTGTTTTCCAATATTTAAGTGAGACTCCACAATCAATCATTTCCAGTGGAGCTCTGCGTTAGTTCTTGAGGAACACTTCTCAGCTTAAATACAAACTTGCTTGATTAGTAAGGGGAAAGCAAGAGGTCTTAGCTTTAACTTTCTAATTGTTGCTTTTAAATCATTAGGTGGTACTTCGCTATGATTTCGGTATCTGGAATCTTTTCTGTTACCTTTTCTGTAATATTTGCCTACGTAGCTGATGTAACACAAGAACATGAAAGAATTACAGCCTATGGACTGGTAAGATACGCTAAACTTGAAAAAAAGGTCTGATTATGACCTTCGAATTGAACTTGTGTTTTGTTGCGCAGATTGTTTCCTGATTAATGTAATGAAGTTGATAGAGAAAGGAACGAACCATGTATCAAGGCACCGTGTTAGCGTTTGGGAAATGTAATTTAGACTTTTTACTGCTGCACAGACTGCTCAGTGCTCATAGGAACAGAATAAGAATTTGTCAACTTTACCTGCATAGAGGGCATGTGTAAAAAACCCATGTTTTAAGTTGCCCAGGCAGAACAAGAAATGTTGTTAAAGGCAATGCAAGTTATTTAATACTTGATTTGGCAACATCTTTCCACCACCTGTAAATTGCATTTTTAGTTTATGTGATTTCTTTTTAGAATAGAATGGCTTTTTCTATAGTCAAAACAGGCAGGAATGGTGAAAATGCATAGTGCAGTATTTTTAGTAACTTAGTCATGACCTTAATTAGCAAGAGAAGAGGAAAATAGTTCAGTTAGTACAAACTAGCCTTTCCAGTAATAATATAATTCTTGCTTAGTTTGCTTTCCTGAATATCTATATGAGTTTAGGTTTTAGAGGCCCATTGGTAGATGCCCTTAGCCTTTGAATGTCATTATCCCTTCATCCTCTGTGCATCTGTTTTCACTATACAGATACTCATGAACTTGATTTTTGGCTTACTGTACTGTGCTTCAAGTTAAGGTTTCCTTTTATTTTTAGCATTAGCGACATATGATTCCTCAGATGTTGATTAAACAGTTAAGAAAATAAAGGACTTGGTTCTTTTGAACCAAACCTGTGTGTATGGTTGTAGCAGAGCACAAAACAGGTTTAAAAGTTCTGGAATTTGCACTTTATTTCTCCTGCCTGTGAAGAGGGCCATAAGTATATTTAAAGCGTATATTTGCCTGCCTTCAAACAGTTTTTTTGTTAACAGGAACAGCTTGATCTAAAATTCTATAAAGTGATAGACAAAAGTACAGTTGTTTTGGTGAGGCCTGTATCTCATTCTAATCAGCTTGTTTGTTACACCTTTTCCTTAGGATTTTTTTTCTAGCTTGGTATAAAGCTAAATTCCTAGCTTGTGTTCTTATCTATAACATAGTTACACAGAGTGTTTTGGGGACTGGAAAAGAGTAGGAATTTAAAAAAACAAACAAACAAACAAACTAGCTTTATTCTAACCTTTTCTGGAGATTTTTATAGTGAAATTTAACTACAGTGCTTGATTTTTCATCATGTTCGGCTCTATGTGAATATAGTAAGTGATCTGTTAGTAGTTGCATGTCACTACAACTTGGTATGAAGAAATACAGTTGTTGTTGAAGTTCTTGTCACAGCTAATGATTTCCTAGTTTGCTGTGATATCCAGTGGTAGCTATGTATTTAAAATGCAAACTGTTAAGAAAGGCATTATGGATTACTGTATGTATTACCCAGAGTGCTGAGGCTCAGGTTCACATAGGGAGGCATTTAAATGTGCTGACAACTTTTTCCGTGAAATCTCATCAAATTCATAATTGGAAAACAAAAAATGTTTTCCTTTGAGCCAGACTCACTCTTTGACTGCAAATCCTGTCTTGTATGGTGGGCTGTGGAAGAGGTTGGAGAAAATTTATTTAGAACCATATTTACTGTCATAAGTGATACTATTTTTTTTTTTAAACTTAAATTTTGAGTGGTGGTTTTTTTAAAGCCACACTTCTGGGGAGGGGTGGTGGTGTTGAGCAAGTTACTTCATTTTTCTGCAATGGCAGAATAACCACTTTGACAAGCTTGTAAACTGTTATTGTGCATAGGTATCTGCCACCTTTGCAGCAAGCTTGGTAACTAGCCCTGCCATTGGAGCATACCTGTCTGCCAGCTACGGAGATAACCTTGTCGTACTAGTGGCTACATTGGTGGCCGTTGTGGACATCTGCTTCATCCTGCTAGCTGTACCAGAATCTCTGCCAGAAAAAATGAGACCTGCTTCATGGGGAGCTTCTATATCGTGGGAACAAGCAGACCCTTTTGCAGTAAGATGCACTTCAATAAGTAATTAATAAATAATAATAATTAATTGCATTTTGTAAGCTTGAGAAATCTTTACTCTTATTGGTAGCTTGACTATTCAGTATACATAATCTCTGTTCTCTGCTCTTGCACAAAAAGATATAGCTACATTTAAAAACCAAACCAAACTTTGTTGATTGAGTGATTCTTGAATTGGAGACAATGTTTGGTGTGAAATCGAAAGGGAAAATGCTTTACTTTTCTAACTTACTTTCTAACTTTAATTGGAAGAGAAATGCTGAATTCTTACACTGCTACAGACCCTAAAACCTGATATTGTTAAGACTTTTCCATATTTGTTTTATGCTTTGTACTTTTGTTTGGCAATATCTCTCCCCACTGCTGAATTCCACTTGTGGTTATATGTGATTTCTTTTTAATACAGAATGGATCTATAAAGCCTGATTTTTCTACAGGCATATATAGGAAGGGTTAAAATATGCCATACAGTCTTCCTAGTAACTTGTTTACTTATTCACTCTTACTTAGCTAATTTGTGATTGTGTTATACCTTGATAACTTAGGAGAGGAAAGAGTGATTGTTCTTCACAAGATACTTCCTGCTGGGAACTGGTTGTGAATGTTGAGAGATAAATGACATGCCTGAAAGACTGCAGTTAAAGAATTTGTTTTCCACAATTTATTCGTTACAGTGATTCCTATTATGGGTGAAAAAGTATAAGAAATGTACAAGGAAAAATACTCTTATAATTTGGGAAGAGAAACAGTTGTAATGAAGCTATATTACTTGCTAGCATCTTTCAGAACAGATTATTATGGCGATCTATTAGAAGCTATTGTGCATTTCCCTAAGTATGACATGGTGCTGTTTTCAGTGAATACTTGTAATTTGGCACTGAACAGTAGCTTCGAAAATCAAATGGCAACTTTGCAGAAGAATCAGATATCACAAACTTTGTGTAACAGGGGGTTGTTTCTAACTTAATGTTCAATCTGTTTCCCTGTGTGACTTTTAAAAATGGATTTTAAAAAAGTGAATCCACCTTCTGCGTTGTTTATGCTTTCATTAGACTTTTTATAAATGTTCCAATACTTGTTTTATTTCTTTGTTTTACAGTCTCTGAAGAAGGTTAGAAAAGATTCTACGGTTCTCCTGATCTGCATTACAGTGTTTCTCTCCTATCTGCCTGAGGCTGGCCAGTATTCTAGCTTTTTCCTGTACTTGCGACAGGTAAATGTTGGTGTCTTCATATCTTACTAAGGATGTTTAAGTATTCCCTAAGACCTGTTTCTTGTTGAAGACTTTGCTCAGAAAACTGCTTTCTGGCAAAATACAGCCTTAAAAAAATAAAGGCAGGGTACTCTGCGAAGCCAGGAACTGAATAACACTTGACTCCTGATGCATAAACCCTGCCATAGTTGAAGCATGTGTTCATAAAGTTAAGCAGACCTTTGTTTCCATTCAGTGCAGCAGTTTCTGTGTCTCGAGGTGGGATCTCGCCTGTTGAAGAGATATTGTGTCTGTGGGAGGGTATAGAGAAATTCAGCTTCCAAATACATGACTTCCTCTGTCTCCTTTTTTCAAGGCAGTTGGGTTTTTTTCTTGTGTGAATTACTTGGCAAGCAGTTGAGTTAAGGATTATTCTTGAAAGTAGACACTTCCTGTATGGATTTAGATTATAAGCAGGGATCAGTGTTTTCTCCTTGAAGAAGATAACTCTTTGCAAGTGATTGTCCTGGATTCTGTTTGGCATTTGTTTTATGCATTTTCTGCTTTTCTTCAGATTATAGGTTTTGGATCCGCTAGCATTGCGGCATTTATAGCTGTGGTAGGCATTCTGTCTATAATAGCTCAGGTAAGCTTTATTCTTTCCAGTGTTTTATTAAACAGTACAAACTGAATGCTGAGGCACACTCTTCTGACTATTAAGCTTGTCTATAAACTTCGTACATGCTCTAAAATGCCAGTGTATCTTGCATTCACTAAAGGTTATATTCATATATAGTCTGTGTAGGTGTATTGCTTTAAATTTGCTTTCCTCAGAAGTACTGGACCTGGGCATCAGAAAATGAAACTAAAATTTGCTAAGCTTGTATCAGTAAATTTACTGGAACTCTGGCTTTAAATTATTAAAATGATGTAGGAAATTGGTTACTTAATGCAAGGCCTTCTGAAAGGAAAACATTATTTTAAGCAAAAGTCATGCTACTTACACGTATTCAACTGGCTCATGCTATCAAACTTGCATACAAACAATGCAGGTATTGACACGGTCTGTCCAGGGTTACTTGGGCTCAGCATGGAGGCTGAGGAACTGTGAGGCCTTGGTATATTGCTTTCATACCTCTTAGGTGGCAACAATGAGCTAGTTTTTGGACAGGTCCTTTATACTTTTTAGAAATCAAACAGTTTTTATGATGTGATCTTTGATTTCTTTATGAGTACAGTTTGTCTTCCTGTTGTGATAACAGGAAGAGGAATGGCACATGCAGTGTGCTGTAATGTTTTTGTCATCCTTAGCAGAGTGGAGGTCTTACTGTTTTGATCTGAACAACACATTCCTCAGTGTTTGCCAGTCTTACTGGAGACAGTTGTGTCCTTCATTATCAATTCAAGTCATTATTTTAATCCTTCCTCTGTGGTTTGTTCTGATGCTGTTACGTGTACTCACATTTGCCAATCATAACTTGATTCAGACCAGTATTTTTGCTAAAAATGTCTAAAATGGCTGCCCTTCTGGTTCATAATTTCCAGTGTTAAAATGAGGAAACTCTGCATTGATTTTTGAACTCTTTGAAGAGTGCAACTTATTGAAGTAAGCTTTGCTTCATAAATACTGATTTATGTTGGCATGTTGGATATCTCCAGAAAGAACTGATCACATGTGGATAGAATTACTGTATTTTTGCTATTTAGCTTTCAAACTAGCTTTGTCTACGAATGAGAAACAAGAAAACTAGGGTAGGATGTACGTGAGAGTGGAGGTGTGCTCCGCTGTCCTTCTGGTTCCTTTTCTCTGTTTTTTTTAGTGATGCATTGCTGAGTTTCTCATGTTAAAGAAAAATGTGTGCTCTGTTAACTGAGTGCAGTTGTCCATATGGACTTTGCCTTACTAGGAACAGTCTGCTTCTTGCCATGAGTATATTGCTGTTGTATCTGAACTGGGGCCTCCTTCCCCCTCAGCAGTAACACTTCTAACAGATGAAAAACAGTGGTCTTCCTTTAGGATTAGTTTCCATGTGCAAATAAAACCATCATCAGTGGTGTAAAGAGTCAGCAGAAAATTAAAGATGCCTAGGAGTTGGCCTTGGCCAAATTTCAATGCGTCTGGTGAAGTTGGAAAAGCAGCAGGATTTACGTGTTGGTTTTAATTGTAAATTTAGATAGTAATTCACCTGACCTAAAGAGATTTCTTTTTTCTGAGCTAACAGTCTTTTTTTTTTTCCCTAGAATTTGTAGATACTGGTAAATTCAACCCATATCCAGCCTGTACTATCTTAACTTGGGACCAGCATTTATTGTGGAACTCTCTAGTCTGTAATGAAACAGAATTGTAGAGATGGAAACAAAAGCCTATTTACAGTAGAAACAGACATTAAGGTAAAATGTCTGTACGGAAGGCAATACCTATGCTTCTTGGTGTCCTGAAGCAGAAACCCTTTAATAGTTAAGAATGTCTGTACATCAAATGTTGATATGTAGTCTGCTTTTTGGACTTAATACAGGGAAAGTAAGAGCATGGATAGTGTGAATTTCCTCAGCAGTTGAAAGGTGTTCTGAATTACTTTTTGTAGAAGGAGAAATTACTTATCAATCTGGCTTTTTAAAATAACTTTTGGATGAACTAATTTCTCTTGCAGACTGTGTTTCTCAGTATCTTGATGAGGTCTATAGGGAACAAAAATACAGTTCTCCTTGGCCTTGGCTTTCAAATCCTTCAGTTGGCTTGGTATGGTTTTGGATCTCAGTCTTGGTAAGCACACATTTTTGTAGGTACATACCTGTTAAAGAATTGAAAATGTTTTTCCAAGAAATTTAGTTCTGTCGTCATGAGTCTTTAAAAGTTCTGTGAATTAAGCATTCTCATTTGCATTACACTACCAAAGTTTGGTCTGTATGTTGCACATGTAGAAATGATAGAATTTTCCAAGTATATAGTGTACATTGCAGACTAACAGCCCCTTTGAAAAAGGAGTCTTTGCACCATTTTGGTCCACTGAGTTTTACGTCTACAAATGTGGTTAAAACTTTTTCTTAAACTCACAAGCTAGTAAGTAGTATGTTCTCTCCAGTAATTCCACTAGATCCATTCTATCAAGCAGTTACTCGACCTCTACTTTTTTTCTTTTATTTTTTTCTGATGTCATTCTCTAACTATATTTGGTCTTGGAAACTAGAGCTTCTTTTGTTGCAAAAACTGCCTGTAAGTAAAGTGAACTAGAAATAACAGCTTTTTTTTTTTTTTTTTTTTGTCCCACAAAGTTTGTCCTACTAACAGTGATGAATGCTTGTTCTTTATCAGAGTACTTCCTAGTGAGTTATACAAGTTAGAGAACTGCCTCACTGGGACACCCTGTGAAATTGTTCCTTTGTACAGCCTTTGGAGAGGGAAAGCCTGTGCACCACTTAACTCCCCTCTTTTCCTCTACTGTAATAGCTTGTGTAGAATCAAATGTGCTTCTGTTCCAACAAGCTCAGGGTAATTTGTGGGAGGGGAGCAGGAAGAAGGCCCTGACCAGATAATTTCCAGTCTTTATGTATTTTAATTTTAAGAGTACTTTTGAAAGGGCATTAAGACTTAAACGAGGGTACCCTTGTGGCCCTTTCTGGGGCATGGGGAGTAATTATATGGGCAGTCTCATTTTTAATTCAAACTATGTATTTAACCCAGGATGATGTGGGCAGCAGGAGCAGTAGCGGCAATGTCAAGTGTTACATTCCCAGCCATCAGTGCTCTGGTTTCACGAAATGCAGAGTCAGATCAACAAGGTGAGTATTGAATGAATTTCAGTTTCAGTATCAGACTGCTTTCTTGGATGATTCTTCTGTCTAGAAAGCAGAATACTTGTCTAGGTGTACTTCTTGAATACATTGAGTAATAAGTTTCTTTGGTGGTAGCCGTGGAAGTCTGCCAATCTACGTAGAGAGGAAGGAGGTACACAAATTTATCAAATTTGCATTGCAAAAATACATAGTTTCTGTCTGACCAGCTAATTCTGTTCCAGCTTCCTGTAAAAGTACTACAAAAGCAACAAAACGACATGTGGTAACTTTCATATTTTTTCCTTCCTCTTTTTTATTAAAAGTAATATTCTCTAAGTAGATAGTGAGGATTATATATAACAATACCATCTTTTTAATGGACACTAAACCCACATCTTACCACATTGAAATAAACCTATACAAGAAGCTCTGTCCTGTGTGGAAAAGTTGGCCCTATTTGCTATAATACTTCAGATTTTCAAGGAATAGAAAAGGAAACTTGAGTAAAGAGTTGATCTGAGAAGGTAGAAAAAATTATTTTTTCTGATGTGAAGGGGAATGAACAAGCAGAAATAACTCTTCATTTAAAATGAAATGAGGGAAGGGGATATCACAAATTATAACACTGGTGTATAATAACTGAATTTAGTGTTCTCTTTAAAAAAATCCTGCATGTATAAATTGTAAGTATCAGTCTTGCTTTAACACTGTACAACTTGAAGTTAGATAAGTGCAGTTAATATGGGTGCTACAAAGAAGGTGCAGTTCTAGGAGGAAGATTTGTATTGAGTTTGAAAGGTGCAAAAGACAGTATTTTACATGGCTTTTTTTATTCCCCTCTCCCCCGTTTTTGTTTCAAATAGAGACATTTAAAAGAGTTTTAAAATACTTGTTTTCTACTTAAGTCATGAAATGAGTAGTTTAAAGTTAAGTTGACAGAAGTCACTGATCTTTCAGTTTATATAGCGGAAACTACTATTAATAGCTTAGGCATAAAATAGTTTCTAGAGTGAAGTTTTGCCACCTAGTGGCACAAAAATTTTAAGCTTACATGTCAACCTATGAAGAAAAAAATTGGACAACTTTCTTTTTGGCGTGTTTTCTTTCCTTCCATTTTACAAGTTACTGCCTTAAGAAGGAAGGGGATATGCAGACAACTAATATTGTAAAAATAGCATTGTGTAGAATCGTAATCTGCAAGATTGTAAAAAAACTTTTTACACTGTTGTCACAATCACTTAATGATGTTGAAACAGAAATACACCCATAGAACTGTGATTAATCAAACTTTTAAAATAATCTAATGTAAAACTGTAACCAGTCTAGTATTGTGAATTTACTGCAGTACTGCTGAGTTTACTGCCCCGAATAAGTTACTTGGTACTTAAATAAATCCTGCTTTTAGACTGGTGAGGGGAAGAAACCTGTTACAGTTTGTGCATATTTTGCCAATAACAACCCTTAACACATAGATATATTACTCTAAATTTCACTTGAAAATAAATTGAGCAGGTACCACACTTAACTTGTGCTTTCTTCATTGTAGACTTTGGGTGAGGGTGGAAGGACTCTAATAGAGAAAATTAGACTTGCACATAAATTTGGTCATATTCAAAACTCATATTGCTTCTGGCAGCATGCAAGTACAGTGACAGAACTATGGTCACACAGAGGATTATTTTAATCTAGCAAAGTTGTCTTCAGTGTGTTTCTTAAGATCTTAGTATGTAGAAATAATTGAGATGTGCTATTTTGGAACAGCCATTAGAATACACTCAAAGCTGTTGGCTGTGCATGTTTCATTCTTGATTAAAAAAGAAAATCCTACTCTTTTTTTTTCTTTTTCCCCCATTCATTAGGTGTTGTTCAAGGAATAATAACTGGAATAAGAGGTCTGTGCAACGGCCTGGGACCAGCACTGTATGGCTTTATTTTCTTTCTCTTTCATGTGGAGCTCAATGAATTGCCACCTGATCAGACTTCTGGAAAAAAAGCAATGCAAGATCCCAGTGATGAGGTAAGTTTAAAATTTGGTGTGAAGTTTGCAGTGTAGAACTCATAAGGGTAAAAATCTGTCATTTTTGGTTGATTTAAAATCTTGATATCTAATTCTTGAACCACTTAATTCTCACTTGTCAGCTGCTTTGAACTGTTAAGATGGCTCATAATTTAAATTTGATAGTAAATAATTAGATTTAGGGGAGTAGCAGCTTTGGTTTCAGTATTCTAACGGAAGCAGTTAACTTCTTTTGATATAAATCTACTCAAAACACAGCTGTAATCCCAAATTACAGTGAAACATGAAATTTTGATTGTAAGAAGGTCACTTTTGGTAACTCAGTAAATTGTGACAAAATTTATCTTTGAACCTCATAGCAATAGATTAATTACTCATGTATACAGTAATTCAGTATATAGTTGAGAACTTTTGTTTCACACCCCCCCAATGGCAGTAACAATGCTGTTCATCACCTTGGGGGGGGGCGGGGAGAGAAGTCAATCCTATACAAGATTTCTTTGGAACTCCCTTCAGTCTTTTCTTTTATCCCTTCCAGCTTTGTTTCATGTCTGCATTTTTGTCTGCTTTGTTCTTTCCTATTTGGCTTCCAAAATATCAAATTTATGCTTACTAGAGTCTGGAGAATTTTATGGACCCTTTTTTCTTTTTAGCTTGATTGCTGTGACCTCTTAAGCTACAATTCCATTGCTTTGTCAAAATACTAAGAATGGACTTTTCAGACAGATAATGATTCATTAGCTTGTAATTAAGCTGGTTGATAAAGACAACAGATTAGCTGAATATGTAAACAACTGGTGGCTGTTACTGTGGAAACAACTGTTTCTTGTTTATCCCCCAGTCTGTGTATCTTACCAGGCATTAAGTGTAACCAGTGCTTCAACATACCGCTCGCTCACTGCGGTACCTGTGGTGGGGTGCTTCATAATTTGCTCAAGCAAACTGAGTAGAGTTTTAGAGTAAAGGGGCAAAGACACTCTTCTTGTACAAAAAGGAAACTGTAGTAAAATACAGGAAAACCTTTATAATCGTGATTTGAGATTTTCAAGAACTTTGTCATGCTTCCACTAGTTAAAATTTCGCTCTTGAACTCTGTTTTTTAAAGCATCAAATCACATAAGCTTTTTCTTGGTTACAAGTACTTTCAGTATGTTCTGTTACTTTAAGCATATCCATGTATGTTTTTTGTTGAAGTACTCCAGAGGTATTTCAGTGGAGCAACTGACTGTTCCAGTAAGTTATGATCAAGTCAGAACTTCTGTTATGGAGTTTTCTAAAGCTTGTGGTAGAAGAAATTTCTGCGCTGAAGCCTAATGTGTGAGCTTCCTTATAAAACAGTGATTTTTCTAAGCTGTAAGTGTAAATTAAACCATTGTTTCAGACATCCTTGTTTTCCTGAAAACCTGCTTAAGAGAATAAGTAGATATCTTTTAGATAGCGGTACAGCAAATCAGTAAGTATTTGCATAACTAGGATTGCTTTTTATTCTGATTTCAGTGGGACAGCTCTTATGTTTAATTATGTATGTACTCATAAACTTTGTTAAATGTCTGTTACTACATCTCTCCCTGTTAATAGTTACCAGGCATCCAACATGTAAAACTATAATTCAGGAAAATAACAATAAAATTTTTTTCCTACTATTTCTTATGTTCAAGCCTAATATAACAGTGGGAAAGAACTCCACAATTTCAATATTATATAGCTTTAAAAATTGATCTAAGTAAAATGAGTGAAGTAAAAACCAGGCAATGTGCCAAGATTAGACAAGGAGATTAGAAAATGCGTGCAAGCCTAGTTTACAACACTAGTACAAGTACCTTAGATTTGCAAGGCACAAATGCAAGCTACCTTTCTTGATTTTGTTCAGTGTTTTAAACTGATGACTAGGAGTTTCTTTGCAGATATACGTAGTTTGAAAAATGTTTATTTTATTCAGCGCTAATTAATGTTCACTAAGAAGCATTTTAATAACAAGTTTAAATGGTCAAGTACCTTGTTTTAAAAAGTTATTGGCTGTCTGTGGAACTGCAGTTTACTGATATGTGTTCTAGTCTGTGACAAGCATTGATAAAATTTTTTTGATGCTTGAGCTTGTATTCTATCCCTGCTTGTCAAAAGTTATGAGTCTATAGGAACTCAATTGAGAATCCATTGTTACTGTGCTGAACCTTGATCTAACCCAGTGTACTGTTGAGGTGAAATGAAAACAGTTCTTCCTCCTTTCTTTTCATTACTGTAATTCTGGGTGTTACTGCAACTACAGGAAATTGATTTTTAAGTTGCTATCAGAACTAGGTTATTTATATAGGTATTGTTAAAATTATTAATGTGAAGAATAAATTTGTTTGTGTAACTTTTGACACATTTTACTTTGAGAGAAAGCTGTTTTAAAAACAAAACCATGTAAGTTTAACTTAACTAGTGAAAACTGATTATTGTCATAATTTAGTATTATACCTTTCAGATATAAAATATTCTGTGTTCACTGATGGACAGAGTACTAAAACAAATTGTTAGATATGATGGTTTTGTAAACCTCCATATTCAAACAGTGGTGACAGGAAAGTCTGGATGCAAATTTCAGTTATGTAACATGCAGAGTAAATGAAGGAGAATACATCCTAGTGGTCATTTCTTGTGTGGTTTTTTTTTTTAACAGCTCAAACTTAATTTTTTCTTTTTTTGACTTACCTTTAAGTATGCATTTGTGTTACTCTAAAGTACTTAAGAATAGGATTTTACTGAATATAACTTCTTTTTTTTTTTCATCTAAGTGGGAGAGTTGCAATGTAATTACAGGTCACACTTGTGATTCTGTTCCGTCAAAGAAATGATCTGATGCACCTATTCAAGAAAGATTGTGTATCTGCTCTGCAGAGCATAAATAGTAAAAGTTAAGCATATCTGTCTTAATTCCCATTTAAATAACTGTTTTCAAAACTGGAGAGCCTGAAGAAGAGAGTGAGCTTGCATCATTATAATTATTCACACGGACTTCTTACAGCAAACAGGGCAGTCAGGCTGTGTTTGGAGAGTAATAATGTTTGGCAATGCAATAAGCAAGGACTGCTTTTCAAAGCTTCTTACTCCTTTCAGTAAAACTGCAATAGTGGGATTTTCAAAAGCTGCTGAGATATATCAGCTGTTATACTACAAATGAGGATATTAATTTATGGAAGTTTATTACATTCTTTAAGTACTGCGAGCTTACCACCACTTGAAGATTTAAGTAATATTGTTAATATAAATTTTGTGAATATGATTATATCCTTTAAATTTAGAGACCATCAGCTGAAAAATTAGGCCTCTGGTTGTAACAAGTTGAAGCAAGGGAAATATCTTGTTACTGTATGCTTAATTTCAGGTACTTTCCCACTTCATATTAGAATAACTTCCTGCATTTCATTTGGTAGAAAAAAAGTGCAATGAATTGACAAGTTTGATCTTCTGATTTTTATTCAGTTTTAGTTGACAAAAATACAGAAAAATTGTTTAAGATGGAAAAAAAAATCACTGGATTGCTGACACTTTCTTTCGCAGAGTATTGTTGTCAAACTTAGCTGATTTAAAATTAGTCTTACAGCCTTTCTGGTGCTTGATTTTAATTGTGGTTATGAAATGTGGATAAGTTGTATTTTAAATTTTAAAATAAACTGTGTAGAAGCACGAGAGAATAACTCCAAGTACCAAGTTACCATACATACCAACAACCTGTCTCTGCAGTGAGAACAGTACTGCATAGCCTGCTGTTACTTTCCTCACTCACATATTAGTTTTTGGGGATGTTTGTTTATTCAGCTAACTTGATTCTAAAGTATGTCAGCCATGGAAGCAAGTGGAAAAAGTGAAGTTAAGTTAAAGATTTATGGAGCATTTGTACTTCTGGATGTTGAAACCTTATCCTATTAATGTCCAGAGGAGTCTTGCTGATTTAACAGGCATCTTGCCTAAAGAAAAAAAATTACGAAGAAGCATCAGTCAATGTCTGTTTCATCTGCTAGGCAATCCTGTTGCCAATGGATAGTTTTGTGCATGTTTCTGTTTTTTAGATCAGTGTGCAGATCAGGTTAGGAATTCTTAGAGATTGTAGATGCAGAAAATTCATGTTGCAGTGCGCACATGAACTTGTTTGCATAAATGTTATAGTCACTGTAAATACGTCTCCCATTATCTCCTGCCTTAGTGGTATAGTTGTTAATGCAGAACTCAATGTCTAAAACTTCATTAATTCTTTTATACGCTTGTTTCCCTGCAGAGAGCAATCATTCCTGGTCCACCCTTCCTGGTTGGAGCATGCATTGTTCTTCTGGCTTTTCTAGTCGCCTTATTCATTCCTGAGCACAGCAAAGCCAGCAGTACCAGAAAACACAGCAACAGCATCAGCAGTGCTCTGAGTAACAACCTCGACCGAAGCAGTGAAGAGGACACTGAACCATTGCTGCAAGATAGCAGTGTATGAAGGCTGACTTCTGAGGAGTCTATGGAACAAATTCATGCACTGAATTGCAGCTCTGGAAGCTTGGTGGGTTGTACAGAGTGCCTGGCCTCTGAAGGGAAGGCAGGTGTGTGCAAGGGAAGGTCACATGCTGTATTGAGGTTGATACCATACTTCCGGGAGGTTTTGTTTAGCATGGCAGGTCACAACTAGGTGTGATTCTACCCAATATTGGACTGCAAATGCTATGTCAAATCCTGGTATTGGGTAGAAACCTGAATGTACAGACGTAATAGAATTTTTTTTTAAAGTTTGAATGTTCAGTTCCCAAAGTTGTATGCAAAATAATCAGGTTTGAGGCAGAACAGTTTCTGCCACCGCTGTTAAAGGTTGTTTTGCGTTTCTTATGCCTTTTGTCTGCATGTATGCCACATGTAGTCTTCATGATGTGAGTGGGACTGATCTATATAGTTCTGGTATCTGAAATAGTGGTTATCCATAAAAGTAATTGAATTTCCTGAAGGCACATTCTCAAATATTACTTAGTAATGAGAAGTCCACTAGTTACCAGAAAGCAATGATGAAACTGAGATGACTTCTGAGCGTGTATGATCACACATGACAGTCATTACCCATAAATGAAGGTCATACTGAAGTCTTAAACCTACATTCCAGAACAGTCAGTTCTGACCAGTTAAAGCAAATCCAGATGGCACCTGAAAGCACTGGTCACATTAATGTTTTGCTGATAAAAATAGAATTTTAATTACAAAATGAGCAGCATCAGAAATATGGACACTCCTGACTTCTGATGCAGGAAAAATAGTGGGTGCCAGAGTAGTTTACATCAAGAAATATGTATATTTATTGCATTTTGTCACTTTATCTGCCATATGAAATAATCTTTCCTATTAATTCTTTTCACCCCTGCCTTAACTGCTACTTAGTGTTCAGTTATTAATCATATTTAGCTGTCATATCACTGTCTTACCTGCTGAATCTCATGGATATATTCATATCAAATTTCCTTTCTAAAAGATGCTTTAAAGGAGTTACGGCTACAAATGTGCTAATTTTTAGAGACATTTTATGAAAAATACACAGATTTATATGTATTTTGCTGCAGTGTAAATGGACCATTAAACCCAACTTTAATGAAGTACTCCTATGAATGTTTTATATGTATGCAATATACGTAGATATTTGTAAGGAATTTTAATTTTTCCAGATGGGGTGCTGTGTAAATCATGTATTTATAAATGTAATGAGGGTACTGACAGATATACAGTTTTTTAAAAGGATTGTGTATTGACTGAACAAATTTTAAAAATATATATTTTGAAACTTGTTCCACATTGAGCAGAGATAACGAACCTTTTGTACTATGCGGTTTGGTTTTTAAGTTAATAAGCTTCCTACTGCATAATAAATCTACACCTTAAGCTTTCTAGGCTTATGTGTAAGTGTGTGTTTTTCCACGTTCACTGTTGTGCCTTCCCTGCTTCAGAACAGAAGTGGTTTAATCCTAGTGCTGGATTACAGTACCTGAATTCCTATTGTTGTTGCATGTGTGCCGTCAAGCATGGTGAAAAGCATGCTTTGCTCAGAAGTCCTTTTTGTGTCTGATGTGGTGTCCACTGGGGTAGAGAAGTGGAAAGAGTGGAAGGGAGTCAGTTTAAAAAAAAAAACAAACAAAAACCAACAAAGGCGGCATTGCTGATCTGAACAGTACTACAGAACTAAGATCCTTTTTCTGGTGAGGGTTAGGTGTTTCTTCTACTTTGAACTACTTGGAATTCAAGCCTGGGCTTTTATGCTGGATATTTTACTTTTGCTGCAGGTCAGACTGCAGTCAAATAGGTTTTGCATGATCCCAGTATAGAATGTCTTAAACTTGATATGGAACTTAAGAGATCATACAGTATGTTAGTGTTAAAAGTAGCAGGTGTCAAATTTCTTACTGCTAATAGTATTCCAGCAGTGGATCAAATTTGAATTTTTAAAGTAGAATCTCAGAATCACAGAATGGTTGGGGTTGGGAGGGACCTTTAAAGATCATGGGGCAGGGACATCTTCAACTAGATCAGGTTGCTCAGAGCTCCATCCAACCTGGCCTTGAATGCTTCAAGGGATGGGGCATCTACCACCTCTCTGGGCAACCTGTGTCAGTGCCTCACTGCTCTCATCGTAAAGGAAGAAATTTTTATGTTCAGTCTAATCTTACCCTTTTCAGTTTAAAACTGTTGCCTCATGTCCCATCAGTACAGGCCTGTCATGGTTTAACCCCAGCCAGCAGCTAAGCACCACACAGCCGCTCACTCACTCCCCCCCCGTCCAGTGAGATGGGGGAGAAAATCGGGAAAAAGAAGTAAAACTCCTGGGTTGAGATAAGAACGGTTTAATAGAACAGAAAAGAAGAAACTAATAATGATGATAACACTAATAAAATGACAACAGCAATAATAAAAGAATTGGAATGTACAAATGATGCGCAGTGCAGTTGCTCACCACCCGCCGATAGAGACCCAGTTAGTCCCCAAGCGGCGATTCCCCCCGCCCCCACTCCCCCCAGTTTATATACTAGATGGAACATCCCATGGTATGGAATACCCCATTGGCCAGTTTGGGTCAGGTGCCCTGGCTGTGTCCTGTGCCAACTTCTTGTGCCCCTCCAGCTTTCTCGCTGGCTGGGCATGAGAAGCTGAAAAATCCTTGACTATAGTCTAAACACTACTGAGCAACAACTGAAAACATCAGTGTTATCAACATTCTTCACATACTGAACTCAAAACACAGCACCGTACCAGCTACTAGGAAGACAGTTAACTCTATCCCAGCTGAAACCAGGACAAGGCTCTGGTAAAACCTCTCTGTCTTTGTTATAAGCCCTCTTTATAGATTGAAGGGGTGTCCCCAGAGCCTTCTCTTCTCCAGCCTGAACAACCCCAGCTCTCTCAGTTTTTCCTCATAGGAGAGCTGTTCCATCCCTCTGACCATTTTTGTGGCCCTCTGGACCCGCTGCAACAGGTCCATGTCTTTCTTGTGCTGGGGAACCTAGAGCTAGATGCAAAAAAACGTTTTGAGCATGCAGCCATACTGTATATATTTATAAATTATATATACATACTGCTGGACTAGTAAAGTACCTTGTAAAAAATAAATACTTTTTTAGATAAAAACTAAACGGAAGTTCTAGTATTTTCTTCCTGCACTGCCGTGGATTGCCTTGCATAGCCCCGGGGTGTTCACCCCCTGGTTGGGAGACACTGCTTCAGAGCTTGTTTTATTGTAGTGTAACTGTGAAATAACAGTAAAACACTGCCTCACTTCCTCAGGGAGGTAATGGGTGTGCTTCTTTAGGGCAGTTGCTGGTTTTCATTTGTGTTGACCTGTGCTTCCCTGATCCTGAGAAAGTTCTAGTTGTTCTGGTGCAATGTATCTTTCTTTTTTCAGGAAAGATTAAACATAGTCTTGCCCCCGCAAAAGCAGGGGAGGGGAGTGGGGAAGAGAGATGAAAGATCTGGAAAACCATGCTTAGGATACTTGTTGCCTTTTCCTCTGTGCAGATATTTTGTACTGCTGTGTACATGCATTTATCACAAAAATATGATGCTACTGCACTTTGTTTTACTATAATCTCCCACATACTGGGAGATTATAGTAAAACCTTGATCTGTGATTTAGTGTTTCAACGTGTGTGTTAACCAATCTGTTGCCTATAGTAGCATCAGAATGTGTTTTAATGAGAAGATAATTTGATTTAAATAGTTGTTAAAAAAAATTTCCTGCTCAGACTTTGCAGTTGATGTGGTCCAAAAGTCTTCACTTACAGGATCTTCCAAGCTTAATTGGCTAAGCTCAGAATCTTCCTAGTCAATCCGAAAATGTTTGGGAACCAAGTCGAGAAGACAAGCAGAATAGCCTATTTTTCATATGATTGAGGAAAACAAACGTCATTTCTAGTCCTCTGTTTATTTGCATGCTGTTTTGTGTTTTGGGAGCTTGGTGGTGAGGAGATTCACCTAAGAGTAGAGGTAAAGGCTTGAATCACATGTGTTTAAAGAACTATATTGAACCATTTTTTTTAATTTTGTAGACAATTTCTCTTGAATAACTGCTGCAGAAAAGAGGCTACTATTTGTCTTCTCTCATTGCCTCAAAAAAAGAACAGTCTTGCTCCGTTCTCTAAAAGAACACTTTGCAATAAAAGGATGGAAGATGTTGGGCAAGGTTCAAGATACACTTCCAGGCCTAGCATTGCTACTCCCTGGCCCTTGCAGCCTGTCTATTTTGTCTTGGTATAAAGGTGCCTCTATCTCATGTACAGCATATTTAGCATCAGCACCTTAAAACAAGAATGTTAAAATCCTTCCTTAATTTGAAAGTAATTGCTGGATCAGTTGCTGAATCCCTGAGAAGTATAGAGCTGGGTAATGTAATACAGTCAACTTAATTATGTGCTGACAACTTTGAAGTCAGAATTTTTTATAAACCTTCGTTTTGTTGGCAGGAAACAATGGCCACTTCTGATTGCATGTCCAAATGAGAATTTAGGCATAGGGATTTCAGAAAGTTGTTTGCATCTGAAATGTCCCTTAGTTGCTGCCTTAGTATCCCTTAATGCTTATGTATCAATATAAATGTGTAAGAAACAGGCTGTAAAGGAAACTGCTGCTAACTCTGCTCCATCTGAATAAAGGCAAAAATCTGCTCAGAAGGACCTTATGTAGTGATGATGCAACAAAAACTTGACTGAACAACAGGCAAGCAACATAAGCCATGTCAAACGACTTTTCTACACATGTGGAAAGCGTTGATGTTCTTCAAAACTTTGTTGTGGTTGTATTGTTTTGTCCAGAAAATCTGTCTTACAGGCAACTATTTTTCTTGCCCTTCTCCTCCTCCCAGTTTTGATACAGAGGGTTTTTGAGCATATTTTTACGCTTTGCAGCAAAATACTGCAGTCTTTTCTGCAAGTGATGAGTTCTCTTTTGTTACAGATACTAAATCATATATGGAGGTGTCTGCTGTATGGTGTGCAGATACCAGTTTTGACAACTTGATGCCTTTTCTCCAAGCAGCGATTCAAACATCCCTGTGAAAAATAGTGAAGGAAAAAAACCATGACAAAATTGTTGTAGTAACAGACTGAAGTGTTAAGCGCTGAAGAAAAAATGAAACAACAGGTCTAAGCATCCTTCCACGTTACTTAAAGCTCCAAAGCAGGTTTTTTTCTTGCTGTTTTCTTTAGGCCTGCATAATAACTGAAACGTATTTTGTAAGTGCTAGTAGAATACTTCAATACAATATTTAAAGAAGTGTACAAAAGGTGTCTCTTTTATAGTTAACACCGAGAGAGAAATAAAACTGAAAAGGAAGATTGAGGAGTATAAATATTCACTAGACTGTGCCACCTAAAGCCAATTGCGTTCTGCAGATCCTTGTCAGGCACACATTTTGACCTCCGAGAGAGGTTGCAGGCCTCTGTGCAGTCCTTAGAGGAACAAGCTGTTTGCAGAGCTGCTAATTTGTGATCTTAACTGAGTGGTTAAGAATTTAATGTTCTTGGGCAATGTGTTTCCATTTTTCCTCGAGAAGTAAGCTTTCCCTGCCAATGAGTTAGCTTTCAATTTTCAATCATGAAGGCATGTTGGGGCAAATACCTTGGGAAACCCATATGGAACACTGAAAACTCCTAATGATTATGGAACCAAGCAACCCACAATAAATCCAGATGTTTTTGTTTTTAATACAGATCGCATGAAAGGAGAATTTGTGGCAAGATCAGGAGAAGAGTTCAATTTTTAGTGTTTCATAATAATTCTGAAATTATTTATCTGTATATTAAATACACCAGCAGCACCACAGCTGCCCTTCCTGAAGGTGAAAGAAAAGAAAAATGTGATAAAGGTCAGACTGGCAGGCAGCATATTATGAGCAAAACACTTTCCTGGGGTAGAGCCTCACCATGAGTAGGCTGGTGCTGCCCTGACATTACAGCATCTGTCAAAAGGAAAAACAACTCGTGACTCTAAGCAATAACAGAAGGTAGTAAAAACAACCCATTTGCCCTATTTCTCCCGTCTCTGGGGGGGAAAAAAGGTCAAGCTACCATGTAGCAGTAATATTAAAAAGTTCTGCGCAGGTGCCTCAAGCAGCTGGTTGAGGTCTTGGTCTTTTATTTTATTAGGGGATGGACAAAGGTAAAAGCTTATCTCCAAGTTTGTGGAATGAGCCCAGGGCAAGTATCTTTGAATTTATTTGCTCTTATTCAGTGTTGAATGTAGTTATATTTGGAAAACAGACTATAAAAATGGAACAGGAAAGATTCCATGTATGTCTTTTGAGGTAAATTTTTTAAATTTTATTTTTAAA